GCTGTGGAAGGGGTAATGTTGTTGAATATATTGCCAGGGTGTATATTTAAACAGGGTCTATTAAAATCGATATCTATAAAAGTTTATCTATAAAAGGCAATATTTGTAGAAGTTTTCAACGATAATTCCATATGCTCAAGTAGACGTTCAGTCCTGAGTAAATATAATTTAAAAAATTCCCCTCTTTATTTATTTAAAACCCATACAATGGACCTATTGATGACTATGAAAACAAATATATTTGCCCAAGACTAGGGCGTTTATCTGTAGTATATCTCTCAATTAAAGAAAACAAATTTCGAATAAATTAGAGTAAATTCGGGGAGTATTGAACTGACCTTTCGATCGCTTTTTCCCAATAGGTCATCAGCACTTTAATGATAACACAGCACATACAAGTAAATATCTTTGATTCGATTCGTACGTTTTCTGAAATCAAAGAAATGCACTTTGTTAATGGACCGCGATGAACTTTTGCCTTACGAGTTGGCTTATCCTTCTTTTTCTTGTAAATATTTGTATATTTCTCCCTTTGTCTCCAGTTATCCCAGAGATGTTTAAACATTTTTGGGCCTGTTTATTGTTGCCGATTTTTACAATTTTAAGGCGGTCGTGCTTGTTTTGATAATTTTTAGAACGCGCTCGCTGCAAATTTTGCTTCTTCTCTCGGGCTTTTATGTAATTTTGTTTTTTTTCGCGGTCTTGACTTTTACAAGGTGAAAAATGTTCTTTGGAAATGTGGGCCATAAATTTACAGTGAAATTGCCTCAAAGAAGAAAAATCGAAATAAAGCAAACACGGAACGAGCCAAACCGAAACGAAATGAAACGAGGAGACAGTGACATGGACATGAACTTGTCTCTTATTCCTTGTCATTTGTCGTCGTCTTTATTTGTTTATTTACTTTGGCCGACTTCCCTCCTAATTTGGCTTTTATGCCCCGCTTCCAACCAAGTTAACTAGTCTCGTTTCTGGGGGCCACTTTCAGTTGTCTTTGCCCAAATTTATTCCTATTCTCGCCCAGAGTTTCTGTCTGTGCAAACATGTCGAGCATTTTGTTCGCTCCACTGGCCAGGCGACTAGCCTGTTTATGGCCTATAAGCCACCGCTTTCTTTGCTGGCCATAAAGTGTTGGCGCCATTCGGCGGAAGTATCTGAAATCAACTGCGATGCTGGCCAAATCAGCTGGAACTTAAGCTATAATTCAATGGCCTAGAAGTAGCTTGTAAACCGGAATTTTCACGCCGCTGGCTATGAGGTGACTTCTCGAACCAATAACATGTATTTTGCAAAGGAAAACCGACGGTAATCGGTAATAAAGTCCTGGAATTGTGAGATGAACTATTAATGATTTCTTATTCAGTTCTCCAGTTTTGTGGCATCCGAAAATATCCGCATCACTGCCTAAAAAGCACTTCAGTCCCGAGACAAATCAAATGTTCAAATGCTGTTGGCCAGAGGCAGTCATCTAAATTTGGTAGTCACTACATTGTTGCTGGCAATTTTGAAATGGGAGCTGAGTTGGCTGTCGAGATGGAAATCTCGTTTCCCCCAAGGCCGAAAGGCTCATGCCGGGCCATAAGAGACAATTTGTTTGGTCCTGCTTAAAGCCGCTTCAGGCCTCCTTTCCGCCGTCCATGGCCGAAAGCATTTATTATTTTTCTTAATTAAATCTTCATTTTTGTGCAGCGTACGTGTGGGGGGCTTTAAGCCAAATGAACGGCTGATGAATGACGGCGACCGCTGCGCTTAATGGGGACACATGAGCGGAGTTAAGAGCCATAATGTCGGTCTACAGGCTGCAGATTGCAGTCTGGTCGAGATTCCACGCCCAACCCCGCACCTCGAACCCCAAGCCCCGATCCCCGAACCCCCAACCCTTGACCTCTGCAGCAACATTGAAACCCATTTAAGTTGAGCTCGCTGGGGGAAGCGAATGCCACTAATTAAGCCTAATGGCGCATGAAACATGCATTAAAACTAATGTGCAAGCCTCTTCGCCGTCGCCGTCGCAATAGTCAACAAAAGGGGTGGCGGTGGGGCAGATGGCCTTGCCACTTGTGTCCCACTGGGTGCCCCCTTTGCCGTCCCGTTTAATGATGCCAGCCTAATTTTATGCTACGCAATATTTTGCTGGGCAAGTGCTGCTGAAATGGGGGCGGCAAATGGGCGGGGCGACAGCATAAATTAATCAAATTAAGCTGGCTGCAACTGAATTCGATCATTTGTTTACGCGATTACACATGGCTGATTGCTTTTGTTTCTTTAATGACGATATTTTCCGCTTACGCTTCTATACAAGGAATATAGCGTTCATAGTGAATAATAGCAGAAAGTTCTGTGTAATACAGGAAGCCCAGTTGTGGATTATTTTGAACAGCAGTTGCAGCTTTAAAGAGTCTCATAGTTGTCACCCATATAGCATCCCCTTCGATCCACCTATACTTGCTGCCAAGAAGCACCGAACCGACCACTAATGAGACATAATGGCCGTTCTAGTCAGACAGTTCCTAAAAACGTTTACGGCTGCACTATACGTGCAACATGGGCAGTGGGCCAACCGATAAGTGGCACGTGGGAAAGCGACGGCAGAAGCCACAAAAGTGTCCTCTCAAATTGGCCAGCTGCAACACGTTTGCAGCAGTTGCAATTGATTTTTCCCTTCAACCATACACTCATCTGTATACTTTTGACGGGGGTTTCTTTTAAAATAATCAACAATTCATATTGCACGAATGTAGATTTGGCTGTACGATGTTTTGTCGCTTCATTGAAGCAATAAATTTAAAATTTTGCAAAATGCCACTAGCCCGATACGAATGATATACTCGTACATTCGAGTGTGCTGGCAGTTCTGTGATTGTGTGCGCGCCACTTTATGAAGCGGCACTCGTCCTTCAACCGGAAGCGACTTACGCACGGTTGCATTATGCCGGAAGTCGTTCGCAGAGCGAGATAGAACAATAAAAGTAGGGTGGGCAATGGGGTCCCCCATTCGAGTGAATGTCAACATGCTGATAACAAAACACATGAAACCAAGTTGCAAAGAGAGCTCAAAAACTTTTCAAAGTATCAAAATGGAAAATACGAACCGTGAGTAAGTGAAGTGGAATTTACCACGCAGCGCATTTTCCATAAAAAGTTGCAACTATTATTGTTTGTTCAAGTCATTTTTACGATTTTTAAACAGATTGTCTAGCGTTATTCTACTGTAGATCCTTGTGGAACCTATTTAATTTATCTTTGAATATGCCTATATAGTTTCTGGTATCCTTAATAGGATCCGTAAAGGATACTCTCTTGGTCAGCAGAAGTTTCTCGTTAGCCAACTCCGTCATTCGGAGCCCCCACAAATATGAAAAATGTTTTGTTTTACTTGGTTGCGAGGAGTATTTCAATGGTACATTGTTCGAGGTAAAAATGAAAATCATTTTTATGAAAACAATACCATTTGCGCTTGGCTGCGTAAGAAATAATACAAAACAGTACAGCAAAAGAACATAACAAAGGTCGCAAACAATTTGGCTACGTAAGAATTAATGAAATTTATGTTAGCAGCTACATATATCAAACATTTCCATTGTTCCCAAAAGTAACGTTTAGGGCGAGGTTTGTGTTTTCTTTCATACATTTTGCTTAAATTTATAGTTGTGCTCTTCGGTTAAGGTGAAAGGCGGGCACAAACCCCACAATGACCAAAGTTTATGCATTGTAATGCGCTTCGAGGAAGAGGAGTGCACAGTGAATGCTCCCTAAAGATGACTCAGGCGAATGATAAACTCTCTTCCCTTCCGAACCTTCTCTTCCCTAGTCCCTCATGGGGCTATTGTAGATTATTTGAGTGTCATTGGCTATTTAAGCCAAAGCTTCTCTTGGGGCGAAGCACAAGTTTTAACGCTTTTCCAACAGGAATATGTATGCTGCTTTTACTTGGGTGTGGTGTCATTCGTCTTCCTCATGTCGTGGAGCTATAAAGCTGGCATTCAGGGTAATTATAGTATACATATAGAAAATAGCTTTGATAGCCTTTGGATTACGGAGATAATACTCGCTTGATCCTCTTGTGGCTCCAAAAGCTGCTAAGTCATTATGATTGAAGCAGCAGAAAATCGTTCATCACCTAATATTTAAACATAAACTTAATCATTTTCATAGTCTATAAGATTACTTAACACGAACCGTACGATTTGCGGCATACCGATTACTTGAATTCCTCATTACCACCACGAATAAATGAAACTGACTTTAGCACAAGTTCCACCCAACTATGAATCTCCACATCTCCACATACCCTGTAGTCATTGTTAACTGTGCATGCATTTTGCATAATAAGCTACTTATAAGCGGTACCAAGAAAAAAGGGAAGGAGTGAAGAAAAACTTGCCATAACTTAAATTGAAAATGTAATGCTATTAACACTGCTCTCAGCCACTGCACCCCGCCCCATGGATTCAATTTGCATATAACAAGGCAGTCGTGTTTAAAGTGCTGCAACCACGCCCCATTCTCCACCGCCTGCGACATTTCGCATAATAAACAGATTAGTTTTTTGGGTTACCTGCATGTTTCTAGCCCCAATCGAAAAGTACACGACTGGAAACATAGTCGCAGTACATGTAATTAGAACTAACATTGCCTGATTTTGGGCAGCGGCCTTTGTTTATGCAAATATTTAAGCACTAGACTACTTAACCCACATCCAAATGCCAGCAAAGCGCAACACACACACAAGCGCTCAGCAGCCCGAAAGTATGCAGCATGTGTCATGTTATATAAGCACCCCCTAACACACGCACACACACACAACCAAGGCTAAAAGCACAACACAACAAATTGGCACCAACAACAACACACAGTGCATATGAACAGCAACCAACAACAGCAACACCACCACCAACACCAACACCAGAGCAACAAGAAAATGTTTAAGCAAGAACTGCATTTTAAAATATCGTGTGTGTTTTTTCTCCCCACTCCGAACCCACTCTATTCCAATTTAGCGCTTGGCCTAAAAGTATGCTGCATCATTAGTGTCTCAACAACGGGCACAACTATACCAACGCCAACGCCTACGACTACAACTACACCAACGAGACAAAGGATGAACTGGGCTGGCTGCAGCTGGGAAAACTGAAAATGCACGCTCATTAGAAGGGACAGACGCGCCGAGCGGGAAAAGCCAACAGCAAAAGCGCATTGCGAGTTCCTAAGTCAAACGCCAACGCCGAAAAAACAACGCCCTGCCATAATTAGCAGCGACAGAAATACAGGGAAACTTGGGGAAAGGCAACGGAAAGCGGAAGGACAGCTGGCAAAAGTCAAGGACGAGCTCCAGCATAATTCGCGAAGGCATGGCCATGGGTAGTAACTCCAGTTATCTCGAGCCCCACAAGACGCCCAAAGCGGACGCAGCGAGGTGATTTTCGTGACTTTCAAAACTAGACAAATTGGCAGAGCTCGCAATTTATCGCCGGGCAAACTGATAGATTCGATTAGCAGTCTAAAAAGCATAAAGCCAGCGGACCACAGAGACAACAGCCGGCGGCTTCTTTAATTTGTCAACCAAACACCAACCAGCAACCACCTAGCACCACCCACCAGCCAACAGACACCGCCCACCGCCCACCGCCCATCGGACTTCCGCTAAATCCATCGCCGTAAGCCCACAAACATCGAGTCATGCCGGAGCAGGATAATTACGATGATGAGGTAATTTCTTTTGTTACACATTTTGCGTACGCAGCCGGCAGGCGGCGGAAAGCAGAAAAAAGAATATGTTTTGAGCCCAAATATAATTAGGCATAATTAATTTTAAAAACAAATATTTCCCGGGACGTGTGTGCGTGTGCCGGGTTACACGGATAAGTTTTTTTTCCATCCTAAATTTCCGGAATTCGTGGAGCACATTCGAAAGTCAAGGAAACCCAAACTTCTGGTTGGGATTAAAATTTCAAATTGTTTAATGGCTGGGAAAATTGGAAAGCGCCAGGAGAATACATAAGGATGGCTTGGTATTAGAAATTTTGGCTAGCTGACGTAAGCAAAATATAAGGGTTATTGTTATGCAATCTAATTAACTCACTTTAAAGTTGGGATCTCTAGCGACATCACGGCACTTTTATGTAAATAGGGCAATTTCATTTGAATTTGCCTTGAAGGCAGTGCAACTGGGTCTATAGAAGTATTGTCGGTAATTTATGTAATGAAATACGTAACTAAATGTAAAACACAAAGCGCTCATTATTCTCTCTTTTTATGAAACTATAATATTTACCAAATCGTGAAATTGGCTATAATTATACCCGTTACTCGTATAGTAAAAGGGTATACTAGATTTGTTGAAAAGTATGTAAAAAAGTATGTAAAGCTTCCGAAAAATTCCAGAAAATGTTCCAATTTCTCGTTTTCACTTGCATTAGCTGAGTAACGGATATCTGATAGTCGGGGAACTCGACTATAGCATTCTATCTTGTTAGGTATGCATTTATGCGCGTTTAAATAGGTTAATTTGTGTGATGTTGAATAAAAAGTGCACAATTCGTTTTAATAAATAAAGATGAAGTGTCAATCATTAGCTGTTATAAATCAATAAACTGCTCTGTTTTTACAGCAGGACCAACCAACAGTACTTACTTCAAAAATTTAAATAAACCTAGCTTTAATGCAAAAATGTTGCTGAGCGAACAGCAGTGGCACTTGGGGAAATCCCTGATTGGCTTATCCAGAGATTACCTTCCGCGATTGAATTTATTATCAGCTCCACTTGTCCGACGAGCTGACTTAGCACTTACATCGCCACTTCAATCGCGACTCACTCTGATTTCAACTTGGAGAAGTACTTTGTGGAGGCAGGAAAGTTCGCCGACTACTTGAGTTTCCTCCCGGCTTTTCCACTATCCACTATCCACTTTCGCTTTCGCTTTTCCGCCTTTTCCGGACTTTGATGGTCAGCTCTTGCCGCTTCGCTGGATTCTCTGCTGTGCCATGGCATCATCTCTGTGGCTGCGATGCTAATTGAAATAAACTCCGCATGTTATTCAAATGCAAAACGCTGACAGAGCTGACTACAATTGCGAAATTGAATTAGCTATGCACCGCGTGTCCGTGTCTGTGACTGTGTGTGTGTGCTCCGCATACCAAGTCGTCGGGGAAAGACTTTCCCGCCCAAGTGGGAGTGTCAATCGCTGCCGGGATAAACGATTGGCTAGTCGCAATCAGCCATTCGAGCGGAAATCAATTAGCCGGAGTTTCCACTACGATTTCCACCCACCGACGCATCGGTGTGCCTTTGGCAGCCCACAGTGTTGGCCATATATTTTGGTAGCAATCGAGTTGGCCAGTGCACGCCATCCATATTAACTGTTTTGACTATGCTAATTTCGGTGTTGACAGGTGTTGCTGTGCAAGGCCTTCAAGAGCTAGAATCAATATTTGCTTGAAGTTCAAAGATTTAATGGGTACATATTAATTTCTGGCTACGATTTAAAGGAAGGTTCCTTTGTAGATTTGTGGGAAAGAAAATGTTTACGAGCAGCTTAGATGTATGAACAATATAGCTTTATTCAAAACAAGACAGTGGAGGGTAAATAGTAAAGTGCGAATTTCTTGTTTCGATTTCCGAAGCTTATTTCCTTCATCGCTTGTTTTGCGTCCTTACCCACTTTCGAAGCGTGTTTACTTGCCAATAAATCAAGTTAAGTCAACCTTAAAATCATAAAATTGAAACTGCCGGGGGCGAAATGGTTCAAAATAATGACTCTTGCTCGAACAGCCATCCAAAGTCAGCCACTGCACATCGCATTCAATTGTGTCAGCGTTGGCATATTACATTTTATTTTGACAAATTCAGGCAACTTAACGACCGCCGACAGGCGCGCCACCTGCCGGAGCAGATCGGAAAAGCAGAGCACTGTAAGAAAAATAAGCAATCATGGCCGTGTAATGGAAGCTCAAGTATGTGTTGACATGGGGGAAAACCCGCACACACGAAGGAACCGAAGAACTGGGGAAATGGGGAACCACGTGACAGATATAGCAAATGCCATGCCGTTATGGCCTTGGGCTAAACTGCTGTTGACAACAGCGCCAAACGCGATGGAGGGAGGACAGGTGGGCAGGTGTTCAGGTAGACAATGGGGCTGGCATGCCGGAAAGCCAGACACACACACCCACCCTTGAGTGCAAGTCGCGTGCAAGGATGCACCATGGTGTTACTGCATCCTTTTCATTTCCACAATCGCCGCGAACGCCGAAGGACTGTTTATGGATTTCATGTTTGGCAGGAAGGCAGCGGGCCATAAAGATTGCTTACTAATGTCGCCCTCCCAATGCGAAGGGCAATATCGTTTGAGCGGAATGTGCCCTCCGGCCTCAGGAGGCACAGGACCTCCAAGGTTTCCAATACCCACGAACTTGGAAAAGAGGATCCGGCGAAAAATGCAATAAGTCAGCTTCATTGGCTCAGAAGTTTTGCACACATTGACTTTGAGTGAAACGCAAACAGTGCAAGATAAACTTTTATTCGGCAAAGGTTGGAGGTCAGCTCAAATTTGAATACACACTACGGATCTTTAATTTTAGCCACGTTTGCTGTATAGCAACTAGCAGCTTGAAAGGGACTGCAAAATTAAGTAAATGTATTATAGCTAATTGCCTGTACATTTTGAGTGCTTGATTATTTTTATATTCATTTATATACATAATTTTTCGAAATGAGTTATATATAGAACTGCACGTATCTTTAGAGTACCTTAAATTAAATAAGATTTTTAGTTCAGGTTTTCAGTCCGACATCATCTCTGCGTCAAGCCCAAGTCCTTATTATTTTTCATCATAACTGCAAGTGCGAATTTAATTTAAAAATGAAAAGACCCAAAATCCATATTGGAAGACCGTAGCTGACCTTCTTTTGTGTGTCAAACAGATGGTTCCTAATGCGATTAACTGGGCCATCTCCAGAGCTGTTGAGCCAACTCGAAAGTTAATTGAAAACGACACTTTCCCTGCCAGCGGGATGTGACCACGCCCCTACGCCTTTCCCTCCCTCCCACGGCAAGCTCATTTTCCCCTTTCGTTCGACAAATACTACAGCTGGCATCCATTTTTAATGCGCTTAAGAGTATGCAGGAAAGAATTTTAACGCTCAGAGCTTAATAACTATGACAACTTATGCAAATAACTGGCGGCTCTCCAGCACCATCGTCCTGCACACCACCTCCTAGAAGCCCCCAACCAGCTGGCTCCTTCAACTTTCTGCTCTCGAGGAGCAGCCCGAGTTTGCCCAGCTCAACCGCAAAAGGCAGCTAATGCACTGCCCGGGATTGTAGGTGCTTGTGTGTGTGTGAGTGGAGATGAGGGTGGGGGTGGGGATGGTGTTGAGTGTGAGCGTGAGTGTGTGGCTATTCGCATTATCCCTGGACAGCTTGGGCAAGGCGCAGGTGAAAGCGGGTGGGGCGGGCAGTTCTTAATTTGGTTATTCTCTGCTTTTAAGCTCGGTCAGGATAAGTTTTCCAGCTTAAACTTAAACTCTGAACGATGTCTGAAAAAGAATGTTTCAGCAGTTCGGATTCCGGGCGGACTGAATCTCAGGTAACCGAGAATTTAATCAAGCGGCACTCTCTGTGCTTTTTGCGGTGGAAAACTGGGTTTCCTGTTTGCGGACTCAATGAAGATGGAATGATAACAATGCTGATCCAAAATCCCATGGTAATCAAAAGTCAGCAGAAATGAAAATCCTGCGAGCAAACATCATTAAACGGCGAAAGAGGTTTACTTTCTTTTTTGTGTTTTGTTTTCCCGTGCACTTAAAACGCAATCCATTTCCATTACGATTTCCGGTCGTGCATTTCATTTGCATGCATCGAGTGTCGCATTGTGTGGCATTTGGATACAATATTTTTCCATTTGGGCCGCATAGTTTACAGGCCCCGGAAAAGCCCATAAAACAAACGGCCTTCGAATTTATTTATTGCAGTTTGGGGACACCGAGATCGCTGGCAATCTGAAAATCTTTAGTTGCAATGGGTAAAGTTTGTTTATTTATGGTCTGATTTACTGATTTATTGCAGTTATTACACTGTTCGCTACTAAACAACAAGCTACCAAATTAGTTTATTAGTTTAAGAGACTTAAAAAATGCATTTTTACCTAATCTGTCGGCTAATTTTCTTAGCCACATGAAAAGGCAACTCATTTCCCCCATCCTTAATTTTCTTCGGTGTAGCAGAACAATTTTTCTTCTTTGAGTTATGCCTAATGGGAAGGCATTAAAAATAGATGGAAATTAACAGGATACGCTGCTCATGTGCTCCGTTCATCCTGGTATCCTTCAAATTCCACCACCCACTGGGAACGTCAGAAGTAAACTCATTGAATTGTGCGGCAGCAAGGCCTTTGTTCAAATTGATGACTGCCATTATTTTTAATTCCTTTAGCGTTAACAGCAACTCATCAAGTTGAGTGTTTAAATTTCATTTATGGTCGTATTTTTGCATATTTTCTTGGGCTTGTGTGTACGCATTTTCCTCCATGGCAATCAAGATGAGTGTTTTGAGCTCTGCTGTGTGCTAAGCAAGTGTCCTGAGGACTCTATGTGAACTGACCCTCCTGCCGTGAATAAATGCAATTCAATTAGGACATATTAAGTATACGACGCGTGCGCCCCCAAGAAATTGTTTTTACTATGATTATGATTGCTTTCACGAAAATATTTTCAAGCACTGAGGCGTTGAAACAAAGTTTAGCGAAAGTTCCCAAAGCTTGAGCTCTCTATTGTTGTTTGATAGTTTGGTTTACGTTCATTTCCCCTTATTTGCGGCGCAACTCCGGGTTAAGTAATAAATACACCTGGCTTACGATTCGAATTCGAAATGGAGCCGCACATACATATAGGGGCAGCTCGGGGATCGGACCCTTATAAATAAACATGCTGGCAAGGATGCGTGTGCCCAGGTACACGTGTTCCCTCGCAATTTGTGCCCCATTTGTATGTGCGACGTGTTATTAATTAAAGCCCGCGACTTACCTGCCTGCACTGATGGCCAAAAGGGGAGCTTTGCAGGCTGAACATATTTATGCTATTTTAATTGGGCATTCCCCCTTTTCAAGCAACCCTGCTTGGTGGGAAACTTGGTGGGAAAATCGATCAGGTATTTATCAGTGCTTCTGTGTCATTCAAGTATTCCATAGTTAAATAGGGGAATCTTAAGCATCCTATTAAAAACTCTGCTTAAATAATTAAATCCAACATATATTTCTGTCCAATTAGTTCGATAAGGCCAGGCATTCAGGCACGCTACTCTTGATTAATACATTGTCATTTCATTATTATCTTGCGAGGAGCGTAGTTTTATGAGCCCTTAATTAATTATTCGGCTAAGCGGAATGTAGTTATATGTGCGACATGATGGACTGAATGGAAGGAAATCAAGCAGACTTCCACGCAAAAACCCCTCCTGCTCGTAAAAATCGGTATCAACTTGTGCGGGCTGCGTGAGCTAAGTTTCGGCCGTGTTTAATTTGGGTTTCTGTTTTCCTTTGTTGCTTGACAACATTAAATATGCATTAAGAGCCTTGATTTCCAAGGGGTTTTGGCCGGGTCTGTGTTCAACATGCTAGCAATATGGGGACTGGTCTGTTTGTATAAGGGCAGACATAAATTGGAAGGAAAGCCCGTATCAGCCCTCGCGGAAAGGGAAAACTGAATCATCAGTTTACTAATTGCATCTTGGCCAACCAATTATTTGCGGCACTGACCGGTTTATTATGGCCATGCTCGGCCTTCATAACTTTCGGTGTAATGAGTCGCACGTGCTCTTTATGTGCAGCATTTGCATTCCAGTGTTTACCAATTAATTTTCCTACTGTTTCGCAGCTATTTGTGACTATTTCCTTCTTATTTCCCACAGTTGGTCTCCAGCAATCCCAACCAACGGAACTGGCGCGGAATCCTCATCGCGCTGCTGGTCATCATCATTGTCCTGGCCCTGATTGTTACATCGGTGGTAAGTCTGAGTCCACAAATAGTACAGCATGATGTTTGGTTATTGTCCCTGGCGATATAATTAGGCACTAACTGGGCGGCTTAATTGTCGACATCGGTGTTACGAATATATTTATGGACAATTAAATGAATTTCCATTTTGGGTGGCTCGTGGCTCCCATGGACAATCACCTAACCGCATTCTCGGAATTGATTCAATTGCAATTACGTTTGTTTTCGAAAATAGGTCCTAAGCAATAACAAAAATACAGTCAAAACAAAAGCACATATACTTCACCCACACGAAATCACCAAAAGTAAATCCACTTTTAACAGCGATTGTTAAACACTCTGCTAAAAGCACTTTCACTAACCAAAAGACATGTCGATGGCATTTTAAGCTTCCATTTTTGAATAGGTACAGTGATACCTCTCCAAAAAGGAATGCAATTATTTCCATTATTTACGTGTCGATTAGCAAGAGTATTCAAACTGACATCGCTTATGAATAAATGGCAAGCCTCGCACAAACTAAACACCACAATGTTACTTTCATTCGGGTCCTACACAGTTTTGTGCAATTGTAAAGTGTTACTCTGCTCAATTTGAAATCTCCACACGAAACACAAATCCTCGTGCGTTATTGGATCATGAACTTTTTCTCTTTTAATTGGCAAAACTGTGTCGGACACCAACGATATTTTTTGTGGCCTGCTTTTGGGCGGCTACGTAAATATTTCAACAATGCTAAAAAAAGGAAACTAAAGCGACCATTAATATTTATGTGTATATTTATATGTATGTACTTATATAAAAAAACTGCGATAAATATTTGTGTAAATACGTTACGCTCATTTTTGTCTTTTGTCTGTTTGTTTACTCTTTTGAAATTTTGTGGCTGCCTGATAAATTTAACCCCCCACACCACCAAACCGACCATTTTTCCCTCCATTCGTTGTTGCTGTTGATGTTGTGTGTGTGTTGTTCACGTGTGCGTGCCTGCCTGCCTGTCTGTCTGTGTGAGTGTGCAGAAGACAACATATAAAATTTCTACATTTATCAAAAAAGGTGCTGCTCACGCCCCCCGATGAGGGACCGCGGGTCAAGGGGCAGCGCATCAAGCTGCAGGACATCGTCGATGGCCTCTTCGTGCCGCAGCACTCCAACGGCACATGGATCGATGGTGAGTGCTACACTTTGGTGAAAATGCCCAGTGAAGATGCTTAAGAGTATGCAACAACAAGCTGCAAAAGAACGTTACCTTTTCGTTGCATACTTTTGGGCACAAGTGGATTTAGTATCAAATTGGTAAATGTATGCTTCAGTTGCGCGTTGATTTTATCAGAGTATTAGCTATTTTCTCTGCGTGTATGCGATGAGTGCCCCTCGGTGGCAGTTGTATGTGGCAAATCGCTTTTAATTTCCGCTTTCATTTCATTTTTTGCAGGCGAGGAGTTTCTGTACCAGGACCATTTGGGTCGCATCTGTCTGCTGAATGCAGCCAATCGCTCGGAACGTGTCCTCATGTCCAATGTGACATTTGTAAGTACATTTCGTTGAATTCCGTGACTCTTTCCCCCTTCTGGACTGTTTGTTTGCCTATTGCTTATCTCTCTGAGCTGAATAAATATTTGCCCCATCTTATTTACGACTAGGGAAGTTGTCGGAGTCCTAGAAAGTATAGTTAGTTGGCAGGGGCGGCCCCAAGGCAGATATCTCAAGTGTACACACTCGACTTGGCAATGTTAACTGATATTATGGCGCGCACAAATGTGGGCGAAACAAATGGGCCAAGTTATCGTTAACTGAGTGCGGCGACTTTCGCCCCAATACAGCGATAGCGATAAAAGGCAAAAAGATTTTTATGTCAATGACTGGGTAAACACACATGTGGAAAAGCGCGGGGAAATCGCGGGAGGTAAAACGCTTTCTAATGAATAATGCGCGAATGGAATTGAAAAACAAACAAATAAGGAAAACTGAAGGCAAGTAAAATGAATGCCAGCCGATGGAATGGGGGGACAAGGGGTGGTAACCAGTAGCTTTTCCTTGCCAACTTGGCAAACGAACATTCTGAGTGCCTCGAGGGCCCAAAAATGCAGACAGGGAGTGCAACAAGTGCAGCCACTGCAAGTCAACAGTTGCCAGTCGAAACAGTTGAGTGGGAAATAATTAATGTGCAGCCGAATCCAAAGAAACTCGACTGGCAAAATGGCCATACATATTCATAGTCGGCTAAGGATCTGGCATAAAGTTACTTCGCCGTCAAACTCAAACACGAAATGAGCAATGAATGGCAAAATACTAGACTTCAACTTGGCTCTTGATTAAGTTGAGCTGCAGAGAACAATTTTCAGATTGTTTTCCCAGGCAAATTAAGGCGGCAACTCGTTGGGCCGTAAACAATGCCGCAAATTTCACAAATTTCCAGCCAGCCACCAAGCCAAACTTCCGCCATTTTGCGTGCAAATCAGAAAAGACCATTACAATTTTAATTAAAATTGCGTATACGCAATGTGTTCGCATTGCCACAGCCGCTTTCGCGGTGGCATGCGCCCCTCCACAGCATTCCGCATCATTTGCAACCACTCACGGATCCATTTGCCCCACAGAAAACGCTGTCACCCTTCACCTTCACCATATCGGCGGACAAGCGCTATCTGCTCCTGGCCCAGAATGTTGTGAAACTGTTCCGCCACTCGTACTTGGCCCAGTACACGCTCTACGATATTCAGACCAGGTGAGTTCCGGCATAATTCCACAGCTGTCCACACCTCAGCACTGTGCCCCTAATCCCCGACAGCGAGAGCATCAAGCTGCGCCACAGTCCGCACCAGGATGAATGGCCCTACCTGCACTACGCGCGATTTACGCCATCTGGAAACGCAGTTGTCTGGGTCCAGAGCTACGATATCTATTACCGGGAGGAGGTCCGCAGTGCGTCCGTGCATCGGATTACCCACGATGCGGTGCCCGGCGTGGTGTACAACGGCATTCCCGATTGGCTGTACGAAGGTGAGTGGCACACGGAATTCATTTTCTGGAAATAATCGGGACGAATAAAATCGGACCCAGAAACCACTTAAATCTTTAGTGAAATCCTTAGTGAAAATATGCATAAAACTATGCAAATCCGATCTGTTGTTTAATCTTCCTAAGCTGCCTTATTGGTGGCCGTACAGTTTGCAAGACTTTAGTAAATAATATACATGCCCTGTGTGAAATGCGGAAATTCGTAAGCCTGCGAACTGCATTACTTGCAAACCGGAGGCGCATGCTGCACGATATTCTGCTCAACTGCCACTTATTTCCATTTTCCGTTCTGATTCGCACTTCGCAGAGGAGATACTTCACGCAAATAATGCGATTTGGATGTCCGACAACGGCCAACTGATGCTGTACGCCACCTTCAACGACACGCACGTCCAGGAGCAGCACTTCGCCTGGTACGGCACGACGGGTCCGTCCGGCGGAGAGGCAGCAGCTGCAGCGGCAGTCGCAGCTGGAGGAGCCGGAACCGGGAGCGCAGGAGCGGCCGGCAGCAATCCGCATGCCAGCCTGTACCCGGAAATCAGGTCCTTACGGTAAGTCGTGACCCCATTAGGTGCGGAGCGCTGGCTAAATCGCTTTTCGATTATGTGTTAATGATGCCCCATCGTTGTCGTGCCCCTCGTAACGTCTAATGGGCTCCTAGTGCCACGCTTAAAATTCATGAAGTGACAGTGGCGAAACCTTTTCACAGGTGGATTTGGGCACTGGCTTCATCCTTTTTCGGGTGCCATGCCCTTTCCAACTCCGATACGGATGTGCTGATAGTTGGGGTGTCAGAATGGGTTGCTATGCGTTAGACAAAACACCTTCGGGGTGTCTAAGCAAGTTGTGACGCTGGAGGTTGATCCCCTGTCAATTGCGTTTGATAAATTGCTAGAAGGGATCTGGAAAGGTCAATGCGAGATGTCAGTGCTGTCTCGTTTGGGTGCTTGGGCCGTCTTCTAGAATTAGGAAATGGGATTAAAGCTTTACTCCTAATTCAAACGGTTCTGTTTTCCCATTGTGATAGCTACCCCAAGCCCGGCACCCAGAATCCCACGGTAACCCTACGAGTGGCAGACCTGAAGGACCCGCTGAAAGTTCACATCACAGACCTGCATCCCCCGCAAATAATAGCTAATGAGTAAGTTTGCTTGACCTTTTTGGAAATATACCAATGTGGGTATAATTGCATGCATGATTTGACTAATTTTCGTGCATTATCGGATTCGTTGTGACCCACAGGGATCACTACTTCAGCAGCGCCAGCTGGGTGAGTCACTCGAAAATCGCAGTGGTGTGGCTCAATCGTCCGCAAAACATCTCGGTGGTCAGTGTGTGCAAGGCTCCTTCGTTCCAGTGCATCGAGGTGAGTTTGATGGCAGCGAGTCACCAATCTCCTAATGAACCCTCTACGCCGTCCATCATTGCAGACCCACCGGGTGAGCGGAGACGGACGTGGCTGGGTGGACACTGTCGCAGTGCCATTGTTTGCCGCCAATGCCAGCATCTACGTGGCCATATCCCCGCTGCGAGATGGACTGTTTGGTAAGTCACTGAGTTGTCAAATTGGCCTTTGTTTCGCCTCCTTCCGCCTTTCCTCTTGCGCCCGAAACCAATACCTCTTAATCACAGGCTATTTCCGGCACATCGTGCACGTGGACATCGACAAGAACCGGGTGCTGCCCCTCACCCATGGTCCGTACGAAGTGAATCGACTGCTGCACTGGGATCAGCTGGATAATTGGATGTAAGTGATTGCGCACACATCAAACCGAGCGTACTTCCGTGCGTTCGGTGCAAAATTGTGTGTATAAGACGTAGTGTAGTGGATGTGATTATAATGAAAGCGTGTATGCAATCATTTAAGTGCTTTAAATATGTTACGTACTACATTAAAGAGTACAATCACCATTTGGTTATCCCTCCAGTTACTTCCTGGGAACTCCAGAGCGTCTTCCGTCGCAACAGCATCTGTATCGCGTATCCGCCCTGCCGGCCCGCCAAGGTCAGGCCCTGCGCTCTCCCGACTGTCTGACGTGTCCGGCGGTGTCGCAGTGGTCCGAGGGCTACGACGAAGGTCACACCAAGTCGCCGCCCAAGCTGGTGACCGCCTGGGACGATGACTGGGAGGACTCCGAGGAGGCGGAGGCGCAAGCGCCGCAGTCAGCTCTGCCCGTGGAGCAACAGCCGCCGGGGCGGGGTCAAAGTGCTCCTCTGCCACCGCCCCCCAGTGACTGCCTGTACCACGAGGCGAAGTTTCCAATCTCGCGGCAAGCGAAGTACGTACTGATCGATTGCCTGGGACCAGTGGTACCCACTTCCATACTTTACGGCTTCAAGTCCGCCGCTGCGGACAGTGCCAAAACGAAACGACACAGCACCCAGCAGGAGGAACCACCCACGGAGGGTGGTGATGATAAAGCAGAGGAGGAGCCCAAGTCTCAGTTCCTGGAGCTCCTGGTCATCGTGCAGAACAACACCCGGTTGAAGGAGAAGATGGCCAAGACCGCCATGCCGCAGATCAAGACCTTCCCCGTGATGATCTCCGGCGGCTATCATGCCCAGGTCCGACTATACCTTCCGCCGGTGCTGCGCGAGGACGAGATAACACGGTATCCCACCATACTGCATGTTTACTCGGGACCGGGCAGCCAGTTGGTCACCGATCTCTGGCACGTCGATTGGAACACCTATCTGGCCGGCAGCAAGGATTACATTGTTGTGGAGATCGACGGACGGGGATCCGCCGGGCAGGGCTACCAGCTGCTCCACGAGGTCTACAAGCGTCTGGGCAGCGTGGAGGTTTCCGATCAACTGGAGGTCAGCGAGTACCTCAGGGATAACCTGCACTTCATCGACTCACGCAGAATGGGCGTCTGGGGCTGGAGTTATGGAGGATACACAGCTGCATTGGCCCTGGCAGGACAGCAGTCGATTTTCCAGTGCGGGATCAGCGTGTCGCCGGTTACCAACTGGAAGTTATATGGTGAGTTCCACTTTTTCTTGAGGGTTTTAGAGAATGACATACAAATCAATGCACCTTACCAAGGTGCCTCGGACTGAAATACAGTTGGAAAGAGTGCAACTCGTATACAGCTCTTTTGTCAAATCAGCCTTTATTCTTTTGTTCTAGACTCCACGTATGCGGAACGCTATCTGAGTTTCCCCAACGTGACGGACAACTACAAGGGCTACGAGGAGAGTGACCTGTCCAAGTACGTGGACAACCTGCGCGATCGCCAGTTCCTGCTGGTCCACGGAACCGCCGACGACAATGTGCATGTGCAGCAATCGATGGTCCTGGCCCGATCTCTGACCAGCAAGGGAGTGCTCTACAAGCAGCAGATATATCCGGATGAGGGCCACACCCTTTCGGGGGTTAAGCGGCACTTGTATCGATCGATGACCGCCTTCTTTGAGGATTGTTTCAAGAAACTGGTAAGGGAACTGTGCATACCCTAGCCCTTACTTTGTATTATATTCCACTCTCCTACCACAAGTATATATATATATAACTCTCTCTATTTCTCCTGCTCTCCAAATTAAAAACAAACCCACCAAATCACCGCCAAAATAAAACCACTATTGCCATTCCTGTTTTGTTCATTATTGGTTTTTTATGCCTATCGTCCTGGTGTAGATCGATCAGCAACAACAAAATCAAACAGATTCCATGGATTTCCTGGACTTTCATAGTTTCTATGGCCGCTAAGTTTGATTCCATATCCCACATCCTTCAGATACTAGGTACAGTCGCGGTTGTCAGTTATCTTTTATTGGTTTCTCATCGTTGTCAAGTTGTTAAGTGTCGTTTTCATTGTCGATGTTGTCATTACTTGAAGGATATCCCAATCTATTATCAACTATTCGCTGTCTAACTGCCAACTTTTAATGCGGACCTAAATGTTTACATTCTTTCATATCGTTTAAAGTTAAGATAGATATTGATGTTTGATGTTTGAATATGCATAAGCCTATTATCCTCTTTCTATATCATTTTATTTTCAAAAGGCAGTGTATTCTATCTGGAATAATAATATGTGAACAAATCTACATTTTTCATAATTATTAGCCATACAATTTTAAAATTTGTTTTGATTTTGAGCATAAGCCATTCAGCCCCTTTGGCATCCTGCATAAGCAATGTTGTTTTCCTTTTCCTTTATCTTCCAAAAAACTTTTCCGGTTCGGTTCCTTCTTAATTTAATATTGAACGCGTTGAGTCTGCATTACACTTGTTACACTTGGGGCTTAATATGGTTTACCAGCCAAACTTTATTTTGGTCCTAAGTCCCAGTCATAATCGTATGTGTTTGCCGTTGGTTTGTTGCCCTTTTTCTGGGCCTTGGCTATAGGCGAGTATTGTGGCTTTCCTTTTGGTTTAGTTTTGTTTGCTTTAGTTTTCGGCTGCTCCATTCTTTGGATTATTTGTTTTCCTTGTTTGATGCTAGTTTTTTCTATGCGTTCCAGCATATTCCTAATTTTTTGCAGCTTTTTCCTTCATTATTCTGAAAGTTTCGCCTTGAATACTTTTTCGTTTGCCCCGAATTTTCGTTGGTTCCTCGTTTGATTCGAACAAATTGTTTTGGCTGTCCAACATTTGTATCCTTTGGCGTATGTTTGTGTGTGGGACTTGTTGTTGCTCGATGTGTTTTCCTTTTAAGCAGGCTAGATACACACACACTCACACCCAGAGACACTAGAAACACGCACACCCAAAATGGCTACTTTACCTAAATGTTTGCTAATGCCTTGATTGTGCTTAAACCTCACTCCTTTCCACTTTCATTTTCTCTGACGCCGTCTGTCAATTAATGTAGAAAATAATTGTATTTGATATTTTTGAATAATGGCTATCTTTCTGTCCAACAACAGGTGCCGCCGGAATCGAAAGCTGGTCTGGGCAGTGGCGGCGATATGCAACAGCAATAAACTTGAATTATGGCAGCAGGAATTCTGATAACAAAAGTATGGAACACAACAAACTTCAACCGGAACGTGCGAACGAAATGTTTTTCTGTAAATTGCATTCTATGTGATTTATCATGAACACACCCACGACACCTACACACATAAAGCGGCTAAATGGCAACTCAAATAGCCAAACGGCGGCGGCAACGCATAAAAACAACTTAGTTAAATGGCATTTTGTGTAAAATTAATAAGCAAAGCGGCAGCAGCAACTGCAAAATGTGAAATACGAAACGCGAAATGCCAAGTAAGTGTGCCCAAAAAGGAGCATAAACAAACAAATGTATATGTATGCGGACAAAGCGGACAAAATCAACATGGTTGTGAAAACATAACTCACACACACACGCGCACACAGACCCCGACTCAAACAGACACACACTCACACACACACACAAGCACGCAGAGAGAGAGAGCGCGCACAAAGGTAGGCAATAAAAATTTACACATGCGGCTTTTCTCCTGTGACAGGTGTGACATTTCAATGCCCTCGCAAAAGGTCCCTTCATTACGGCAATCACTCTGCCGAATTCTCTCTATATTATTTCTCAATTAGTCAGCATTTTGGGTATTTTTCAATTTCTGCGCTACGCCTGTGACATTATGTTTTTGAGTAACATCAATATCAATACAAAATATTTTCACTTGAGTTGCAAGTATGAGCATAAAACATGCTTCAGAGCTGGTATTTAGTCAGTCGGCTTATCAAGGCAACACTTTCGGTTTGAATTACTTTTTCATTTCGTTGTAATTTATGCATATTTTGCATAAATTCCCAATGAAGAGCAAACAGAAATAAAATTGAAAAGCAAATTTATTGAAAACGCTACACGTACAGCAGCTGAGCTTCGTGCCGCTCTGCTTGAACGGAAATGGCCAGCATAAATCAAATCTGACAACATTCTAAATGACATTTTCTGATAGTCGAACGGTTTTATCGCTTGCCAAGGGAAAGTTTTCCAAAATGTGTAATTTCTCACTGGGTGGGGCGAATAGTGACCCATAAATTGCGACTGAATTTACGGACTTGGCTCATAATTGAGTCTGGATTTGCAAGCCGTTGACAGAACGCATGATTGAAGTGAGAATTTGTGTACTAAACTTATTCCGAGCTTAAATGCGAATTCAATTTGAATAACATTAGTCTCTGTTTGCATAGATTGAATTACGTTCTTAATTTGATTTTGGTTACTCATAAATTTGATCATCAAATTTACTGCCCAAACAGAAAGGAAATAAAACTGAATAATGTCCGAGCGATGAGGGAAGCCTCAGCTGGAAAGTTTAATTAAATCAAACGAAATAAAAACGCAGCCATAAACAAAGCATAAATATTTGAATTGATATAAATGAAACAAACCAGCGACTCAAACAATTGCATAAAAGTGTTTTCGAACGAATGCAATTGAATTTCCAGAAAGCAAAAAAGTAAAATTACCAAATGGCCAAAGTAAATTGATTACTCGAACGGAGGGTTCAATGTGAAAATGAACAAATTATAAATCAAACACACCAATTAAATAGAATAACTGCATGTAAGTAGCGCAATACTATTTAATATAAATTTACGACTTTTTGTTCAATTTCATTAGCTAAACAACTCGAGTTTAGTGGCAGTAGAGTAGCATTAGTCGGTATCCAAACTAAAACCAAGTAAAACTAGTTAATTAAGCCAACGTGAACTAAAACGATATACAGAAATGAGAAAAAGGTCAAAAATAGCTGCGATACACATTAAACATAAAGATTAAAGAAGGCACAAAAGCAATGCTCAAAATGTATGAAACACAAAAATAAACTGGAAGAAGAAAGCAAATGACACCGCATCGCATATTCCGCAAAAATCTCTATTAATCCCAAGTCCTTTCCCCCTGAAGTAGCAGTATGCAAAAAAGGATTATCCTTAATTAGACATTTGGCACACTTTTTTGAGAGCGGCAGTTAATTAGCAACCGCCGCCAAACTGCGGCTCTTACTTCTGATGGCTGAACAGGATGTTTTCCCGAGAGGTGTGGAACACTGGGGTGATTCACTTATGAATATCATTAGCGTAAAAATCACACAACATTTTTGAGAAACAGGGTTACTTTGAGTAGCGTAAAGTCTTTATTTAATTAGTCATTACACTTGTAAAATCTATATTCCCATCCTAACTATCTTGTAAGGAACTACCTTCTCAAACTCCCACAAGATCTTGCGAACTCTTTTTATGCGACAGCTAATTGGCAAACAAGTATTTCGCATATAATCGCTACTTTATTTCGCGCTTAATTCCTATAAATATAAATGTGTATATGCTTTAGCACTCTTTGCGGCGTGTAGCACAAGCAAATCCCAGCTGGATAGAGTTTCCCCCAACTTTGGGGGCAATTTTAATAATAAAGCCGCGTTGGCCGCCAAGTATGCTCCACAAAATACAAGCTCGTCCTTGCGCCACACCCCTTTCCACTTCCATGCCCACTTCCACTCCCCCCTCACCGGAGCACTGGCAGGTAGGCAGTGATGTGTGCTGGTGTTGGAAAATTGCAAGCCAACATAAATTTATGTCTGCCTGACACTTTTATGTGCCTCGCTGGTGGTTTCAGCTTTTTACGCCGCGTTTTTAGACGCCAGCAGAACGCATGCCAATGTTTGGCTAAGCCGCAGGTTTTCCTGTCCGCAATTAACGCACACAGCTGCCGCCGCCCCCCTGGCCAGTGGGCGTGGCAGGGGAGCTGTGTCTGTGTGAAGGCGCTTATTTTTAGACCGAAAGGTCGCCTGTGAGAGGGACTGTAAAAGGCCAGCTGCTGCTCCACCCACTCCCACTACCAGCACCACCACCACTACCATTCCCATTCCGATCCACCTGTCCCACACGCACACAAACACAAAATAGAGGATACAGGTGTTTGCCTTAACAATCCGAGATGAAGCCATAAGTGCGATGCTGTGTCAGCGAGCTATGGAAATTGAAAAGGACTCGAAGACAAAGGGAAACCCGGAAACAAAAACATTTAAATGCTTTCTATGTAGTGTACTAAGGACCAATTACCGACGGGGAGTGTGGAGTAATTAAAAATAAATATATATACACAAATTACGGAAATGTAGCAACGCGCTGTAGACGATTAACAAAATTTGCAATATATACATAGAGGCACACATTCGACATGATGAATATTGACTCCAATACCATTTAGTAATTATACAAGCATATATATACCTAACGATATACACAAGAAATCAAATTAATATGTATACACATGCGAATATGGTAGTTTAGTTCATCTAGTGGATCAAGCGTTTGCATTATTCGAGTTACAACCTATGAAAACCAAAGGAAAACCAAAGGAAAACCACTCTGTATTGTTGAAATACTATTAGCTCAAATGAAAGCTCGAAGCGGCTCTGTAAAAAAGGGAAAACTGTAATATACGCCTATACATAACTAAATAACTATACTTTGATATATGATACATATATATTTTATAAACAACTTTTACTCTTAAACGAAAACCATTTTAATACTCTATCTTCAGCCTTACCGTAAACTAAATGGGAAATTCTAAGAAAGAACATAGTATCTCAATAACTCCTAGAGAGCTCAGATGGCCAATGTGCAGAGATGGAAATCTATCCTAACCAACGAAATCGAATACAAGTTGTTAGTTATGTTGTTTGATGTAAATAAGCTTTAAGGTGGCTAGCTCAATTCAATTACTTTGTTTACTCCTTTCGTTAAAGAGTGTTTGAGAATTACTTAAGCCGTTAGCGAAAACAAACCTTTGTGATCCAACAAGTTTCTTCTCTTCCATGAAGCAAAACCAAACTAACCAATATAATAATATGAATTTAAAATTAATATGTAATTACATTGACTTAATTAGCTGAGACGTTCAATAATTTCGCCTGGCATTTAGTAATGGAAATCGTGAAAAGCGGAAATACCTAAAATATATGAAAGCATGAAGCCAAAAAGCAAACTGGAAAACAATGTAGTCTTATTTATCGCATTTTTTGGGACAGTGACATAAAATTTTGCAAATTAGGAAATACCGACAAGAAAAGAAGTGCGGTAAGTTCATTTGAATATATATTTATATCAGCTTGTCCCTTTAAACATGAATCAAATCAGTCAAGTAGTCCCCAATGCCACATTATCCATTTCCACATCCCAAATGCCAAAAGATGTGGATGGATTTCGTGGTTCGTTGGCCAACTAAATCAAATCCTCACCTCTGGAGTCCGAATTAAAAATGAAATATTGCACTCAAGCTGCAAAAGGGATTCTCGAAAAATCGAAAATGTAAACCGTGGAAAAGTCCGGCTTGGCAATCTGCATAAAACACGTAACGGGTTGCAGTGCCCCGCCCCTCCGGACTTTCCTCCAACGCCCCTTTGTTGGCCACGAAGCACGGAGTAAAAGGGCTAAAAGGGCTAAAAGGCGGCACGCAAATGGCCACAAAATGTTGGACTGGCATGCAATGGCCATCAGCTTTGGGGCCAATGGACGCGGGCCAAGTGGAGCTGGGGGTTTGCGGAGGAGGTCTTGCTGCCGCCAGCAGGCGAACTTTCGACTTAATTGGCCAATTGTTTGCCAAGGCGCTGAACAAGAAAAAGTGTTGCATATTTGATGCCCTTTTACACATTTCTTTCTCCTCCGTAGGTGCAGAGCAACGATCCGCAGCGAAAGAGGTGGCAAGTTTTAAGCGCCATCGTTTTGGCAGCTAATAATTTATCGACGCGATTTCAGCGATTTCAGCTAGCGTCTAATTGCCACTCAGGAACAAATATGAAAATATGGTGTATAATGTACGGATGGCATGGATGGCATGGTCGCCCACTCTAATCACGGCCATAATTGAGCCGCCACGATGAAAATGTCCGGCACAAATTGCCGGCCACTTAAATCGGGAAACCCGAAGCGGCCGAGAAGTATCTGTATCGGTGGGGGAGAAGGATTCGTAGTTACGGCCATGACTCACGTATGTCACTACAGCCATTATCCAATTTCAATGGCCGGCAAATAGGAGGAAGTATCCTTAGCCATTGCCATTATATAACAATTCAACACATAGCCACTAACATAAATTTATTCAGCACAGTTTTTCGTTTAGTTAAAGAAGCACATAAGCACAACTTAAGAAATATGATTGATGCATATGTTGAAGGTACACCTTATTCTACTACAGCCCAAATGTGTTTTTTCTCTTATATAAGCTATAAATTATAGGGTATACTAACACGTTCGTATGTAATCAAGGAAGGTGTCACCTTAGCACCAAACATGATGTAGGTTCAGTGACCTAATTCTGCACCATTCCAATTTATGGCATCTACGATAGCTGGAATGTAAATGTTAAGTGTTTGCTTTAATTTTTTGCT